CTTAAATGTAAATGGATTAAATGCTCCAATCAAAAGGTGTAGGGTAGCTGAATGGATACAAAAACATGAACCAACAATATGCTGTCTACAAGAGACGCATTTCAAAACAAAAGACACACATAGGATGAAAGTGAAGGGATGGAAAAAAATTTCCTATGCAAATAGAAAAGAAAAAGAAAAACCTGTAGTAGCAATATTCATATCTGACAAAAGAGACTTTAAAATGAAGGCCATCAAAAGAGACAACAAAGGTGCCCTAGCTGGTTTGGCTCAGTGGATAGAGCATAAGTGTCTCAGGTTTGATTCTGGTTAAGGGCCCATGCCCAGGTTGTGCTCCATCTGCAGTAGGGGTCATGCAGGAGGCAGTCGATCAATGATTCTCTCTCATCATTGATGTGTCTATCTCTCTCTCTCTCTCTGAAATCAATAAAAATGTATTAAAAAAAAGAGAGAGACAACAAAGTTCACTACATAATACTAAAGAGATTGATCCAACAAGAGTATATAACTCTGATAAACATATATGATCCCAATATAGCTGGACCTAAATATATAACAAATCTTTTAGAGGACTTTAATGGAGAGATTGACAACAATGCGGTCATAGTAGGGGACTTTAACATCCCTTTCACTTCACTGGACAGATCTTCCAGACAAAAACATAACAAGGAAATAGAGATGCTAAAGGTCACAGCGGATCAGATGGATTTAATAGATATTTATAGAATATTTCACCCAATGCAGAAGAATATACATTCTCAAGTGCACATGGATCATTCACGAAGATAGACCACATGTTAGGACACAAAACAAGTCCCAAAGAACAGCAAGAAAAGCCCAAAGGAAGTAAAAGGAAGGAAATAATAAGAATTAGAGCAGAAATAAATAACATAGAGACTAAAAAACAATACAAAAAATCAATGAAAGCAAGAGCTGCTTCTTTGAAAGGGTAAGCCAAATTGATAAACCACTAGCCAGATTCATCAAGAAACAAAGAGAGAGGAAACAAAAAAAATAATATCAGAAATGAAAGTGAAGAAGTAATCACGGACACTACAGGAATAGAAAGGATTGTAAGAAAATACTATGAACAGCTGTAACCGGTTTGGCTCAGCGAATAGAGTGTAGGCCTGCAGACTGAAGGGTCCCAGGTTCGATTCTGGTCAAGGGCATGTACCTTGGTTGCGGGCACATCCCCAGTAGCGGCCATACAGGAGGCAGCTGATCGATATGTCTCTCTCAACGATGATTCTAACTCTCTATCCCTCTCCCTTCCTCTCTGTAAAAAATCAATAAAATATATTAAAAAAATGGTTGTTGGATTTTGTCAAATGCTTTTTCTGCATCTATTGATATAATCATGTGATTTTTGTCTTTCAATTTGTTTATGTGATGTATCATGTTTATTGATTTGTGAATATTGTACCAGGCTTGCATCCCTGGAATAAATGCAACTTGATCATGGTGCGTGATCTCTTTAATATATTGCTGGATGTGATTTGCTAATATTTTGTTGAGGATTTTAGCATCTATGTTCATCAGGGATATTGGCCTGTAATTCTCTTTCTTTGTAATGTCTTTATCTGTTTTTGGAATTAGGATAATGCTGACCTTGTGAAAAGAGAAGGTTGAGAACCACTGCCTTATAGCATTTTATTTTATTTTTTTATCTCAAGAGAAACTTTTAAATATAATAATGTTACACGCAATCAACATAAATTATTCAAGAAAAACTATCTTAAATATAGTAATATTACATGCAATAAAAATTAATATTTCAAAAAATCATTTTAAGTATAATAATATTACAAAACTGTATAAAAGTATGATATCACAAACATTGTAGGAAATATTAAAAATCTGCCAAATAACAGGATTATTACTATTATATTCTAAAATTTTTTTCTTCAGCGTCTATTTTTGTTAATCAGTTTATGTTGTTCATTATATTCCACAAAAGAGTGAGATCATGTGATATTTATCTTTCTCTCTATGGCTTCTTTCGCTTAGTATGATGCTCAGAGCTGGTTCTCTGGCGCAGGCCACATCCACAGGGTGTGGGGTCCCAGGTCCTGGAGGAACTAAGAAGCCATGTTTGCTCTGGGGGTGATGCGGCAGTACACGTCTGTGTTTGGGTTGAGTAATTCCTGTCAAAGAAAGAAGAGATCTCTGAGCCCTGAGCCTCCTCAGAACAAGTTCTGTGGGACAAAATGGGGGCTGACTGTGCTGGGGTGTCTGTCCCTATGCACCTCCCTCCCCTCACCCTTTGTTTTAACTTTTCGCTGCCCTTTCCTGAGCCTGGAAGCACAGCCAGGGCTGGGATAGGGGCAGGTCCTGGGACCTCTGGGACCTGCAGGACAGAATGTTCATAACCCAAACTCACCTCGTAGATGGGGCCTGTTGTCCTGGGGTCGGGTAGGGGGCCCTGTGCAAGGGTAGAGAGGGCATCAGAGGATGGGAGGGAGAAGCTGTCACTGCCTCCTGAGCAGCTGTCTTCACACATGTAGCCCAGCACCTGAATTTCAGCCCACACTGCACCCCCTCACCCTTGTTAGCCTGGGACCTCTGACTAGTGCTCCCAGTGCCCATTCTGTTCCATGCTGGGCTCCAGGGTTTCCCTCAGACTTTGGCCCTGCCCTGTTCACCCCTGATGTGAGGGCCCCACTAGGCCAGGTCAGGGCTCCAATTTGCTGGCTGTTCTGGGGAAGGGGTCTGTGCTGTGTTGTGAGGTTGGAGGGTGTCTGTGCCCTGAGCGTGGGTCACTGAGGCCCTGGGTGAGGGAACAGGGAGGGGATGGACTTACCGGGAAGGCAGAGGTTCCAGAGGGACCCTGGCCTGCGATCAGAGACAGGAGGAGTTAGCACCCAGAGGGGAGGAAGCTTTGGCCTGTTCTCCCAGGAGGGCGTGGTTCTGTAGCTCCCAAGAGGCAGGGGTGAAAGGTCATCTCCCAGGGTAAGACCCTCTGGCCATTTCAGGATCCAGTGAGGGAGAGGTGGTGACACATGACACTGTCTAAGGTCAGGTTGACTGGCAAGCCAGGGTCCCCTGTGCAGAGTGGTGATGAGAATCCCCCTTGAAGTCCACGGAAGGGTCAGAGGCTGAGGGACGAGGGCAGGAGTGGACACTGTGGGGCAGGCCAAGGGGCTCCAGGCTGAACAGACACTCACCAGGTGTGGCTGCTGGAGGTGGGTGCTCTCGGAGGCCATGCGGGTCACTGGCCCTGGGAAAGTTCAGACTTACTTGTGAGGGTGCAGGGGAGCTTTGGTGTCACAACAGGGGGCAAGGAGGGTCTCCTTTCCCAGCAGAGGGTGGAGGCCTCTCTCCACTGTTTAGGGGGATATGTGCCCAGGAGAGAGGAACTGACACAAGGTCTTAAGGACCCAGGTTGACCTGGGCCCACAGGGAAAGGACCCTCAAGCAGATGGGGGTCTGGGAGGAGTTACCGGGGAAGGTGCTGAGGACTCAGGATAGGAATCCACCCCAAGGGTCTGACTTAGAGGAAAAGTCAAGGCCTCAGGGGTCAGCAGTGCCAGCCTCTCATGTAGCATCTGGATGAGTGTGGTGCCTGCTGTGGCCAGACCCGCCCTCAGGCCTATAGAGCTACACTGTGACCTAGGCCTTTCATGTCTCCATCCACCTGAAGCAGAGGCCAAAAGGACACCATAGGTTCCATTGTCCTCCCATCTCACACATCAG